AGCCTGAGTCCATTCTACCTGCAAGGACAGAGAGAGAGAGTAGGTACAGAAGTGAATGAGAGAAGAGTCTGTGTTTGTACATCAAAACGCACAGTACTCCTTACAGAAATTTGAAAAAGTGGATCCTATTCAATAAAAGGTTTGTTTTAACCAAAATAGACAACAATATTAAAATATGCAATTTGGCCCTGCATCTCTGTAATGGATGTGAAATTGAATAACAAGCCAACTTTTCTTGTCTCTATAGATCAATAAATTTCCAGGGACAATATTAAAAAGGTATATAAACATGCCTATGTTTCAATTTTGCTTTATTCAGTTACATTCCAATCAATTACATATTCTGTTTTGTAGGAATACAATTTATCATCCCTATATTTGGTGATACTGGGAGCTCAAGTCTTCTTCCTCAGAATACTTGAGAAACAAAAGTAACAAAAAGTCCAAGTATTCATATGCCTTCTGAGAAAGATGCAAAATATATAGCTTGCTGGAAGAATCTTTTGCAGCTTGTTGCACAATGGATCCAAAGAAAAATGGGTTTCAGTTAAGTGCTAAGATAAAACTAAAATGAAAAATGTTAAAATTTCTTTGTTTTCATGTGAGTGCAGTGCTGCATTGGGCATGAGTTGGACTGAATAAAGAGAAATTTGTGACTTTCAGCCTTTGAAAACTGTCATTTAACAGTAAATGCACAAAGATGTACTAATAATTTAGAAATGCAATCTTTTTGCCACGCAGCTTTCATGTAAAAGTATGTGTTTTCCCTGCTTTTTCCCTGATATTTCTGGCCAAGTGCGTCATTCAGATGTGTGCTCCATCTAGAGATTAGTAGTTACCCTTTGCTTTCAGTGTCATCTCATCCAATATCTTTTTCTCTTCATTAAATGTGTTGTTTGATTTTGCTTTTTCCCGAGTTTATATTCACATCTGTAGTAAAGATTAAAAATAAAAACAATGAAAGAAAGTGCTGGAGCTCCCAGAAAGCAATCACTTCATAACTGGGAGTGGTCATTACTAGAGAGCTGATGATTTGCAGTGGTGCCAGACACTGCAGTGGTGAAGAAAAATGTTTCTTTTCCCTTCTATGCTCAGGCTCTCCCTAGTAGCACTATGGCCCTATGTATCTTTTGTAGGCTGCATACAATATGAACTTCCATTCCCCTGCCAACTCTCACTCTGCCATTTAATTCTTCATCAATACCTCAACTCCTCTTGGTTTTGATAGATGAGCCCTGCATTCCTGCTGAGCTGTTTGGCTTGGAGGAATATTTGAAGAGTAAAATGAAGGAAAAAAAGTAAGAGATGGCACTGGTCCTTGGAAGCAGCTAACAAACTGAACAGGTTTTGATAAGTAATTTTCACATGGCAAAGTTTTTATACTTCACATAGTGGAACTATGACATTTCTTTAATGCAGGCCTCTTTTATAGACTCCTTTCAAAATTTGACAGAACAGGTATGCAAAGCAATTTGTTGAGATAAATGGTGAATAATTAGGGTTACTAAGAGATCCATGATAGAAATGTTTCTGAAAGTTCTCTAAAAATGTATACATTCATTACAAAATACTACTCAGGGTAGTCTGGTCTTCTCATGGAAAACCATGTGGTAAAACTGATACACACTTCCCCTAAAAAAGGAGTGATTTATACTTTCTGTAAAAAATTGGAATGAAATGTTAGTTGTGGATGTTATAAGACTAATTTTGAGATTAGCTCAGTTGGTTAGAACATGGTGCTAATAACACCAAGGTTATGGGCTTGATACCTGTATGTACCATTCACTTAAGAGCTGGACTCGATGATCCTTCTAGGTGTCTTTAAACTCAGACTATTCTGTGATTCTGTGGTTTATGAAAAGGAGCAAAATCTGCCTTTCCAGTGGCTTATGGGGAGAGAATACTCAGCCCTCATGTGCCAACACCGTACCTTTCTGCATGTGCATTTGGAAATATGTTTTCGCACAATTTGTCCACATCTCTCTAAACATTGTCAGAGTACCCATACAACCACACAAAGGACACAGCCCTGAAGCAACACTGCAAAATTTCTAATGCCACACTACTCTTACAGGTTAAGTGGCAAGGAAAAGTAAAAAAAAAATTGGCACCAGGCTCACAGATGTTCCAAGAAGTGAAAGAGTATCTAAGTTTATTAGATAAACTTTGTTTAGTGAATAATTAACAGGTCAGCTTCAAAGTGTAACTCAATATAGACTGTTTGTTTGTTTTTCTTCTCGTGACAGTGATGGTTGCTTTTAATGTCCAATAAGGGGTTATATCAGGTAATCCTGGCAAGATGAGGTGGGAGATTTATCCATTTAATCAGTCATATTGATATGATTTTAATTTCAATTTACTTTCTGATAAGTATCCATGTTTCATGGGATCACAAATAATTCAGTACTGTGTCTATTTAATAGTTATGCATACATAAATATTATTTTAACACCGTTGTTAAGGTCACAGTATCAGTCATTCAGAGGGCTGGAAATATACCTTTTGTTAGAGCATTTTTACACAACTGGGAATTATGTACTATTTATTTCATAGGCCCCTGCCTCTTTTTGCATAAAACATGGATATGAACTGAGTTTGTTATATTCAAGATACTATAGCATGTATTTAGTAGGACTACTTCCATATTCATGACAGAATTTGAGTAGTGATGCACCAAGGTTTCCAGGCAGAAAAGAACGGGTCAGTGGTTAAGGCAATTGAATTCTGTCTTGAAAGCTTAATTGTAACCTTGCCCTGAGTTTGTAATTGATGCTATGTGAGTTGCTTAATCATAGGTTGCCACTAACCAAGTTTTTCAATGTCTGATTGAGAATCTGATTTACCAACACACTGAATACTTAAATCTGGATCTGAAGTAAATGACAGCTATAAGTGGGTAAATGAAGTATGGCTTGAAGTGGTTATAAAAAAACCAAAGTCCTAAACTGCTCTCATATGAGACATGTAAGATTTGTGGATAATTTTATCTTAGCTTCTTTGGATCTCAGAATTCCCTCTTGTTAGGTCAAGATAATAGCATGCCTTGGTTTTGCAGCAATAATTTAAAATAATTGTGCCAGTATTTTAGAAACAGTCTGTCAGAATGACCATGAAAGAAAAAACACTGGGGAAACCTGCAGTTCTATATTCAAAGGAATCTGTGTTCTTGCTAGAATAAAATACAATAGATAGAACATAATGACAGATTGAGTGAGAGAAATAGGGGAAAGATTTCTCATTAAATAAGCCCTTTCTATTCTAGTGCATTAAACAGGGCTCCAAAACAAAAGTGGTAAATGATCATGTATGGTAAATGATAAAGCCAAATTATACACATGCAGCAGTGAAGCGACTGAAAATTTTACAGACCTGGTGTTCCCCAGCTCCTGAGTATTTTGGCATGGCTCTGAAATGGATGGATGTTTTTGAGGTTTGCAAGTGAGATACTTATGTCTGTTTCCTTGCCAAATACAAAGCCTCTACCATGGGCATGTTAGAGCCTAAGCAGCTTTTCTGATAATTTCCTTAACAAACCAATGAGTATATTAGAATGGGATTTCAAAGGTGAAAGATAAAAGCAGATACAATAAATGATAATGTTACTAGCTCTGTCTAGGGCGTAGGGTTATCACTACAAATGCTCATCCTCATAGCCCAAGAAGATAATTTCCTATGGCTGTTTGGGAAGAAGCTTCCTCTCTTTCAGGAATGGATCAACAGACTGCTCAGTGTGAGAGCATTTATGGTGACAAAAATGGGGTGTGGCAGAAGTTTATTGCCCTCAAATAGAACAAGACTGAAGATAGAAATTAATTACTAAGGCAGGAAATGAGATGGCTGATAAAGCAAACTAGTAGCTAATGGTATTAACAAGCTAGTACATTTAAGTATCCATAAACAAGAAGCTGCAGTATCAAGTACTGCTACTCTTAGAGTGCTGTTTTACATAACAGGATAAATGTATAGGGTAACTGGTGCTAGTGCTTGGTATGAACTCATCTGCAAAGCATTTCCTGTGTCAATCTTGCAGATTTCTCAGTGATGAGCCTTCAATATTTGCTCAGGAGAGACCACCACATTGTTAAGACTGACAGCACATCAGTAAGAAGGCCTATGAAAACAGGCCTACCTGTTACAAATGCTGTGTGGGTATTGTTTTAGAGATGGTTTCCCTGCATTGTGGTTTACACCCCTATAAATATGCTAGGAGCTATTATGGGCTATGTCTATATCATTTGAGATAGAATGCACTATTCAAGCAGATGTGACAGTAACATGATATCACACACACTACACCTTTGTGTTCTTACCCATAGCTCCTGTTAGGAAAAAAAAAATTAAAAAGAAAAAAAAAAAGGACCAAAAACCTATTGTAAAGCAGGAGCAGACCAAATAGTCAAAGCTGTTTGTCACTTTTTCTGTTGACAATTCTGAAGGGGGAGGACACACACTGTTGGACTAGTTTTGCCATGCAATATGATTACAACTATGAAAAGGGCCTGTGCATTTATTTTGAGAAGTTAAAAGTAGTTTTGTGATCTATCTTGGACTTCGTTCTAATTTTACATGATCACAGGTTTTGCTCATTGCCATGAGAGTAGAGACCATTCCTATGGCTTCAGTTAAGAAATTAGTGTATACGCATAGCCACGTTCGCGTTTCTGAACAAAAATCTTTACCCAGACAGGTATATGGGGTCTGCTTCACCCCGCTCTTCCCATTCCCCGTGGGAAAGAGAATAATTAACGCAGCAGCCCTAGTCCCGCCTGGGCTCTGCAGCGATGTGCTGCCATGACCCGCAGCAGCAGGGGCCGAGGGGCGCTGCGGGGACGCGCGAATCGCCGCGCTCTGTCCCGGGCCGACCCGGGGCTCCTTCCCCTCCCGTCACCTCATTCCGCTCCCGTCCCGCCTGTGCCACCGCCCCCGGGCGGGGAGAGCCGCCTGCCGCGCCCCATAAAGGGCGGCCGGGGCCCCGGCCGTGCTCGCTGCGGAGCGGGGTCCCATTCCTGCCTCTGGACGGGCGCTCTCCCGGGGACACGCAGGTGAGCCGCGGGACGGGGCAGTGGCACCGCTCCCTGAGCCGGGAACATCCTCTGCCCCGGCACAGCGGATCCTTTGCCCCGGCACAGCGCATCCCTTGCCCCGGTACAATGCATCCTTTCCCCCCGCAGGCTCCTCCCGGAGAAAGCCGGATTCCCCGTCGAGTCGCTGCCATGGCCTCCGTCCCCTCCGCCGGCTGCCTCCTGGCCAAGAACCAGTACTACAGGAGTGAGTGCTCGGCGGGGCCGGGAGCTGCGTGTTGTCCCCAAACACACCCCCCGCCCTTCTCTCCCCCTTTCCTTTCTCTCGCCTTTGGGAGCGCCTCTGGAGGAGGGAGGTTGAGCCCCCCAAGCCTCTCCCGAGAAAGTGGCCGGGTTGTTGGCACTCAGGAAAAGTGTCAGAAAGTGTTTCAGGTGCTGTCTGGATGAGCTGGAGGCAGTTGTCTTTGCCTAACAGTTTTTAATTTCTTGGAGAGTTTTTCATATCACAGAATTTAAGTTTAAATGACCATCTGCTTCTGGCTATTAATCTACCTTGTATTCTTTTTTAAATAGAATTATTTATTAGGGTTATCGTATACATACATAAATATGTATGTATTTAACTGTAAAACATTACCTAGAAAAAGTGCTAGCCTAGCAAGTCATGGTTCCTACCTGTACGTCCTATTTACTTCCTATTTACTTTGCAAATTTAGACACAATACAAAATCAATTCACATTTTTGTTTCTTAATAATGTGAAACAATCACTGCTTGAGAGTACATGTGGTGTATTAAGATTCCTAGGTCCAGGATGTGAACTACTAATGTGAATGTAGAATTTAATTGTATCACAAGGGAAAATATAGCAATTGGGTTGTTGTGGACTTGAATGCTCAAGGATATACAGCAATGTGGCCATGGTCTTAAGTTTTGTCAGTGGTTTCAGTGAAAGTTATGCAGACAGATCTCAGTATGCTTTTAAGGGAAGTGTAAGTAGAGTGAGAGAGAAACTGATATAAAAGTTCTTATGAAAACGACTGTAGTAGAACAGCGTATATAATATAGATGTTACACTCTGTAGCTCAGTGAAATAGTTTCCTCTGAGGCAGCAGCATGTCAGAAAAACTCCTGACCTATAAATAGTGCACTCTCTCAAAGCATCTTTTGTTCATTACGGGTTTCTCTGTTTTCCACGAACAGCAAGACTGAACTCAGAATCCAGTGTTTCTTCCAGCTCCTCCAGCTGTTTGGATGCTGTGAACATCACAGACCAGGACAAAGCATCGCATGGTATTGTTTCCTTCTTTGAAACACTTTTCAGTTTTTCGTGTTATTCATCCAGTGTCTAATGCTGTGGGCTTTTCTCCTTCGGCAGGGTTACCAGAGTTAATTGATAAATATTGGTGGATAAAAAGCTTCTTCCATAGTGAACCCTCTCCACCAACTGTTGGCAGAAAAACACTCTCAGCAAGCAGGTGAGTCCTGTTTTTAAAACGGTGAGGATAACTTACTTGCTCTGCTTTCCTTTTGGTAAAAATGTTAGTAAAAAGTCATAATCACCGAAAACCATCTGGTGGGGTACAATGCTGTTTTGATGATTTAAGTAAAATATATATCAAGTCTAAGGCTATAATACCTTTCTATGCTTTCATTTTAACAAATGAACTCATATGATACTTCATATTATGAAGGTGGTAGTGCCTATTACTGTTTTACACTTATGGTGATATTTATTTAATCATCTACCTATAGAATTTGAACAACCATTTGTTTGTGCAAAACCATGGCAGTTTGGACATTTTACTTTATGATAAAAAGCTGATATGAATGCATTCAAAAATACTTAGGCAGATAAATAAATATCTTTGCGGTGAATACAATGAAAATTCTATTTATAATCTTTTTTTATATATTTCTGCAGTACCAACAGTTGAAAAGGACTGTGTGATGGCTTTTCTGACTGAGATGCTACGTACAGACTTGTTTTTCCAAGAGGCTTGGGGTCTTCCTAATGTCTGGGTTCAGCTGCAAGAAGAAAACAAAACCTTTAGGAGAGTGGAAAAGTGTATTTTCAAAATATTTCTCAGTAGCTAAAATGATATTGCTTAATGAACATATCCATGGCCTACAGTGTTCTTTCCAGATTTGCCATAATTTGTGATGTCTCTCTAATGAAAGTTTCCAGGAGTAAACATCCTGATGACTTACTTGAGTAATTAGAGAAAAGTGACAGTAAAAATAAGACATCATAGGTTTAGGAGGAAGATGTGTATTGAATGACTTTGCAATAGCTGATTCAGTTAAGTTGCCTTTAAGATACCAGCTCTCTAGGCAGTCACACTGATGTAAACAAGATTCATATCTATAATCCAGAGTAGGACTGCTGTGTAGCACATGTCTTTTATCCAGTATTTGTGTAACAGTTACAGGGTGTGAGTTTACAAGAATGCTTGTCAATAGCTTTGCTTTTAGAAAGCGCAATTATATGAACAAGCAAAAATCAGTTTGGTGTCTTTGATCAAGCAGAGTGCATAGATCCCAATTTCAAATACCCAGGTACCACTTTCACTCCTATGTATGCTGGTATTTGAGGACAGAATAGAGGAGATGCACAAGAAACCAGTAATCCTAATGGAAACTGTCCTTTCCAAGGAGAAGAGCAACCTTAATCAGAGTTGATACTTCTAGTTTGTTTTAGATTTCTTCTGCTTGCTTTGCTTCGTTGTGGCTTAAAGATCTACTTGTTCCTAAGTGACTAATTCTATCAATATTTTGCTGTCTGTTGGATTAGTTATGAGGCCTAGATCTGGCAAAGGATTCCACTCAAAGTAATCACATTATTGTTGTTATCCAGGTGTACCTTTGTCATGCTCTTGAAAGCTACTATAACATTGCAATGCTGAAGACTAAATGAAGCTAATTAGTCTAATGATTGTTTATTCTACTGGGCATGACTGAAATGCATAAAGGGTTATGGAAAATAACAAATATTTGGCTGGATGATAACGTTTGTGAAGGTATCTATGTAACTTTTTGATGTAGTCATTAAACCTGCTGGATATTTGCCCATCACTGGATGAACTAACAGTAGCAAACATTAATGTAGCTCACTTCTTTTTATTATAGGTTAGTGGTTGTCATGGTTATGCATAACTCCAAGGTGTATCAAGTGGCTGCTTCAGGGAGTTTACAGTCTTGGTGGAGGCAATAAATGCATGGCAGATGACAACAGAAAAGAGCACAATTCTGAAAAAATGATTTTAAGGGTCTTTAAATTGACTTGTGTTTTACTTTACTGCTATTGTACAGTTTCACCTTTGTCTGTTCTCTATGTGTACAGTATGACCGTTTTTATACTAGGATTTTTTTATTAATAAAGATTTAATCAATATTTTGTCTGACTTATTTTTGGCCTCCAGAAACAGACTGGTGTTCCATTTTGCCTGTGGTGGAATTTCTATGTGGGTTTGGGTGTTCTTTTTTGAATGGTTATTTATTTTTCTATTTTAAAACAAAGTATTTGAAAAATTTAAACCTCAAAAGTCTGTGTTCTATGTGCATCACATTCTTCCTTCAGTCACTTCAAGGTCTGATGTGACTTAGAAAAGGAGTGCAAGCTAGGAATAAGCCCCTAACACCTTTTTCTATAAGATCATGTTGTAAAGGAAAAGAGAAAGACAACACCATAGTTGCAAGAAGGTGACTGTGACTCTCTTTGAAGATGCTTGAAATCACAGAAGAAAGAGATGTTGTAGCCTTATTATTGCTATACATGTGAAATACCAGATTCAAGAAACACTGTGGAAAAGAAGTGACAAGCTTCCATAATTATTCATTCAGCTTAAGCTGCTTCTGTCCTTATGGAGCCAAAACTTGGGTTGCAGAACAGGCTTAAAGAGCTGGTTAGCTATTTAAACCCAAAACCCCCCTCCAAACCCAAACAGTTATTTTTTAGAGAGTGGTGAGGAAGGCTGCATGTTGTTTGCTTTCATCTGCTTAGGCCCTATGAAAAACTTGTTTTTGTAATGGCATCAATGTGATAGAAATCTCTGCTCTAGAGTGGTGCCCTTGTGCCATTTACATCTTCTTTTACTGTGATCAGCTCAGCATTTGAGCAGAACCCCTGCCAAATCATAGTTATTTGTGCCAGTTCTTCAAAGTAAGCAATGAACCAGCTCCATTAATTAATATCTAATGTTGCTATAACAGACTCCTGAGAGGATATGGGTAAATGGGACATTAAAGTGCTTGGAAACAAAGGGCTGCAGTTTTTTACATCTCAGTAATAGGGAAATGTTAGTTTTCTTGATTTAAATGCCAATTCAATGCACCTTTGAGAGGAGAGGAAAGCCAAAATTTAATTGATTTAAAGAGAAGCTGAGATAAAGAGGAAGGGGAAGCTATATTGTTGTAGTTTAAATGCCACTTAGAATAAGGAAAACAGGAAAATAGTATGATATCATATGCCAGTCTGGGCAAGACAGGTACAAATGTTTGATCAATTATTAACTGTAATAGAAAATAAACACTTTTTTTTTGCTTTTTGCTGTTATAAGGTCTATAATTAGAGATCTATTTTAAGTTAATCTGTATATTGTTATCCATCTGGAAAAAAGTATTAGACACAAGAATTGTGCCAGCATGTAAAATACTAAGTTAGTTCCAATTATCATAATCAAACTAGGAAGGGAGAGCTGGCCTTGAGAAAGACTTTTTTTCTTTACCTCAAGCACATATATAGCAATGATACTTAATAACAGACTTCCATTTCTTTCCTAAAAGGATATTTAAGTCATAGTGTCCTGGTCCTAGTAGTATCCTATCTAAAAGTCAAAATAGAAGGAAATTCTTGTACCATTTGTTTTGGTTCAAGAAGGATGAAATCTGCTTTTCTGTATGTGTAGAGAGAGAAATTCGTAATAATGATTTTTTTTTCCTCAGGTGTTGTTATTTGGAAAACGTATTGTAAATTTACATTTCTTTCCTAAACTTTTCTTGTCCATATGTGACGTAAGCAATACTTCATATTGTGGATGGACAATAGTGAGGATTAACTCTAAAGACCGTAGCTATTGCAGTGAAATGGGTTTGTTGTATTTTTTTTGGTAAACTTGAGTTTTTCAGCAGAAGCAAGAATGATAAATGGACCGAGGTAAATACAACAGGTTTTCAATATAAGAATGAAGAGCAAATCTAACAGTGAATCAAACTAATTTCGAATTCTTAGGAGTAAGTAGTATCCTTGTAATTTTTTTGTCAGGGTTATTTCTCTTTGTGGTACTACAGCACTCTAATACTTGAAAATAATTGCAAATCCTCTTCACTTTTTTCATAATCTTAAATAATAGTTCATTATTTCTTCTTGGAAGCAGACTCTCAGTTATTGTCACTTCTCAAATCTTCTATGAAGGAAAACCCAAGCAGGGTTTACTCAGACATTTCTACCAGGATTAATATTGTTTGCAAAACATTTCTTGGGTTATTGCACATACAGCTGGTGACTGAAAATTTTGACCATGACCATGTTTATTGCCCTGGCTGACTCTTCATTGATAGAGGGATTCTGTCAGATTTCTTTTGTCATGCACTCTGTCATATGCCATTTTAAGCTGTTCTGGCAGTAGCAGATGTGAAATATACTTTTTAAAATAACTGGAAGATAGAGTTTTGTAATAGAAATAAGCTATCACTACTAAGGAAGAAAATATGATCAGTGTTTTGGAGAGAAGTTATAGAAAATCACATTTTAAAATTTTTTTTACCCACTTCTATCCCTCTCAGAAACTGTGGAGAAAGAAATTGCTGTTTTCCAGCCCTATGACAAAAGAGAAGATTCAGCTCCCACTTACACTACTTGATGGTATGTTCAGAGACACTCTATTGACTTTTTCTCAAAAATAAAATTATAAAAGTGCTTGTAGTCAAAATGACAGAATGCGATCTCGACAGAGATATAATGTTAGAGCAGCTCATAAAAGGAATAAAAAGGGCCGGTACACTCAAAAAGTTGCTTTTCTTAGTTATGTCAACCACTGTGTCTCCTTCAAACTCAACTATTTGTGGCATCAACAAAATTAATTTTCATTTATACCTGTAGTACAGAAGATATAATCTCACTTTACTTGTTTTGTTGAGGTAACAACACTGGGTGCAAGATAAAGCTGTTTTGTCAGTTTGTAGAGGACAACCAAGGTACAGCTTAATGTCAGACACCCATTGAGGATCATCTCCAGGACAGACTGAAGCCTGCATGTCCAGGAGAAATCCAGAAATACTGGAGGTAGCTTTTCAGAAAGGTATTCAAGCTTTGTTTCCCTTTCCTTTTGTGTTGTTTTGTTTTCTGTTACTCTTTTTTCAAAAAGAGCAAACCAAAAGAGAAATCACTTCATCCTGACTTTGAAGCAGTCAGGGATGGAGAATCTGTAAAACAGCCTAAAGGTAAAGTAAAATAAAATTTTTTGTGGTTGATCACCTTCATCTTTAAAGATCTTTCTCACTGGTACCAACTTGAATTTCTCTGTGAGCAGCAGATCACATTCTAGTAAGAAATGCACAACCTAAATAACAAGTAAAGTTTTAAAGTGCTGATTCCACTTTCTCTTCAAGGATCTGTCTGAAGAGGTTGCATCATTTTGTTTAATATCCAGCTACACTGACTTCAAGAAGTATTTCAGCACTGTAGAAGTGGATCAATAGGTGGAAGCAGCTGGAGATGTGCTTTTTGCTTCTGTGAGTCAAAGCTAAAAGCCAGGCTCCCAGAGTATGTTTTGGACTCTAGTTTACAGACTATTGCTAAGTGAACCAAATGAGAAGGAAAAAAGGTGACGGTGCAGTATTGACATGGAGTCAAAATATCTACCAGTTTGAAATCTTGGAACCTGAACTGGCACTCAATTCACTTTTAAATGAAATTTAATGGCTAAATTACTTATTATCTCAAAAATTAAAATATTTAAGGAGTTCTACTTATCACAACTAAATACTTGTATGAAATAACACAAATTTGTTAATTAAAAATGAAATAACTCACATTTTTTAAATTTAATTTTAAAATAACTTTCAATCCTCTCTCTGATAAAATGCTTAGTATATTTTTTTTTGTTTTAATTCCATTATTACAAATTATAACATTATATAGAGAGTAGCTCTTTTGTCTTGGAGAAAAGCCACTTTACATTTTGAATGAAATTCTGGAACCTGTGAAAGGTTCTTACAATACAACTAGTTTGGATATCATATATCTTTCTAAGAATCCATAAAAGTCATGTTTCACAGTTTCATTAATAGTCCAGCAGTGAAAAGATAATACTAGGGGTAAAATACACAATGAAATAATTTTTTTTTTAAAAATAGGTATTTTCCCAACATATTTTAAGCAGGTTAATTTAATACTGTCAAGACTCCTGCTCTGACTTACCATATACTTAAGTTCAAATGAAATCTGCAACCACCATAGCATCACACTGACAGGATGTGTTAGTGACTACACAATTTTTCCATGGCAGTAAAAGATTGAGTGGAGTATTGAATGTAAAAGGCAAGGTAGCTGTATGTTGTATGTAGTAGTACCTTCACATTCTGTTACAATAAAATGCCTGCCTGCAAAATACAAAATGAATTTGTAAAAAAACCCCAAAACAAAACACTGCAACAAAAAATTCCTCCTTCTTCACATTTTGTGCTTTCCAGAGACATATTTTTCTTGATGAACTATTACTTCCTTTGTGTTCCTTTCTAATGTGGTTGCAAAAGACTGAGAAAAAGAAATGCATCTTGCAAATAAATTGTTACACTTCTAGTTTTACTTGTTGTTACAATTATTGTCCTGCATTAATTTTTTGCCATTACTGTTTAATGTGTTTAGTGGGAAAGTTGTTTCTCTGTGTGTCTGTCACTGTACTGTGAATTTATTTTTTTTTTAATCTGGAGGAGGCACCTTTATAATGGAAACACTTTTTAAACGCTTACCACTAAAATAGAGCTCCAGTAACTAAGCCAGTCAGCTCAGACCTTCTGAGATAAATTTGCTTAGGCTGTAACTCTCTCATGTAAGGATTGACTTTTATTCTGCATTTTTACAACACAGCATTGGATATTAATCTTGAAAGACATCAACTGCTTGGCATTATAAAATTATATAAGGCCTTTATGACTAATTCTGAAAATGAATGTCCTTTCACTTCTTTTTGGACATTAAAACATCTGCGGTATTAGAAAATACACAGAAAGCAAAAGTGCTTTTTGTAATAAATAAATGTAAACTCATTGATGATGG